TTCTATCCTGCTACTTTACAAATTTCTTCTATGAGTTTCAATAGTCTCTTGGTGGAGTCTTTTGGATCCCCTATATATAGAATCATGTCATCTGCAAACAGGGGTAGTTTGACTTCCTCCTTCCCAATTTGAATCCCTTTAATTTCTTTTTCTTGCCTAATGGCTCTGGCTAAAACTTCCAGGACTATTTTGAATAGCAACGGTGAGAGTGGGCATCCTTGTCTGAGTCTGGATCTCAATGGGAATGCTTCTATCTTTTCCCCATTCAATAGGACACTGGCCATGGGTTTATCATAAATTGCCTTGATTGAATTGAGGAATGTTCTTTCTATACCCAATTTGCTTAGAATTTTCATCATGAACGGGTGTTGTATTTTATCAAATGCTTTCTCTGCTTCTATTGAGATAATCATATGGTTTTGGTTCTTCAGTTTGTTAATATGATATATTACATTGATTTGTGAATGCTGAGCCATCCGCCTACATACCAGGTATAAATCCCACTTGGTCTGGGTGGATGATCTTTCTGATGTGTTGTTGGATTTGATTGCTCAGAATTTTTTTTTTTTTTTTTTTTGACAGGCAGAGTGGACAGTGAGAGAGAGAGACAGAGAGAGAAAGGTCTTCCTTTGCCGTTGGTTCACCCTCCAATGGCCGCCGCTGCAGCCGGCGCACCGCGCTGATCCTGGCAGGAGCCAGGAGCCAGGTGCTTTTCCTGGTCTCCCATGGGGTGCAGGGCCCAAGCACCTGGGCCATCCTCCACTGCACTCCCTGGCCATAGCAGAGAGCTGGCCTGGAAGAGGGGCAACCGGGACAGAATCCGGCGCCCCAACCGGGACTAGAACCCGGTGTGCCGGCGCCGCAAGGTGGAGGATTAGCCTATTGAGCCACGGCGCCGGCTTGCTCAGAATTTTGTTGAGGACTTTGCTCTGCCATTTTTCCATAAATATTCCTATTTTTTACTTTGGATTTCCTTTGTACTTTTACTGGGAGATTTCCTTCCTTTACCTTCTTCTGAAATGATGACAGTGTTTCTGTGTGCAGCACACCCTGAAGCATCTTCTGCAGGGCTAGACGGATGGTGACAAATTCTTTCAAATTGTGTTTGTCATGGAAGGTCTTTATTTCACCTTCATTCATAAATGAGAGCTTTGCAGGATATAGTAATCTGGGTTGACAATTCTTTTCTCTTAAGACTTGGAATGTATCTCACCATTCTCTCCTAGCCTAGGGTTTTTGATGAGAAGTCCACTGTGAGTCTAATTGGAGATCCTCTGAAAGTAATCTGGCGTTTCTCTTCTACACATTTTAGAATCTTCTCTTTATGTTTCACTGTGGAGAGTCTGATTATAATATGTTGTGGTGAAGATCTTTTCTGGTCATGTCTATTAGGAGTTCTATGCACTTCCTGTACTTGGATGTCCCTTTCTTTCTCCAAATTAGGGAAATTTTCTGTTACTATTTCACTAAAAAAGCCTTCTAATCCTTTCTCTCTTTTCTCACCTTCAGCAACTCCTAGATTCCATATGTTGGGTTGCTTAATAGCATCCTGCAGATTACCAACAGGGTGTGTTTTCAGTTTTCTAATTTCTTCTTGTGATTGGTCTGGTTGTATAATTTCCTGTGCTTTGTCTTCTAAGTCTGATATTCTTTCTTCTGCTTCGCCAATTCTGTTGTTAATGCTTTCCACTGCATTTTTTATTTGTTCTATTGAATTCTTCATTTCCAAGATTTCATTTTCATTTCTCTTTCAGATCTCAATTTTGTGGGAGAAATTTTCTTTCATGTCATGTATGTATCTCATTAGTTGGTGCATTTGCTTCTGATTACTTCTAAGTAATCCTATGATCAATGTTTTGAATTCTATTTCTGGCATTTCTTCAGTCTTGTCATCTTCACAATCTAGTATTGAAGTGTTGTGTTCTTTTGGGAGTGTCATGTTGTCTTCCTTATTTTTGTTTCTTGAACTGGTGTGTTTGTTATTTGGCATTTGTGGAGATACTTGTTGGTTTCTCCTCCTCCTTTTTTTTATTTTATTTTATTTTTTTTGCTGTGGTGGTCTTTATTTTTGGACTAAGTCTGTGTGGATTAGTGGAGTGTCTGCTTTCACGGAATACCTAGAGGGGTGTGGTGGGTGTGGCCAGGAAGCTCTGTTCAGTGCTCCAGGGTGAAGGGTGTGTCTGAGGTGACATACCTAGGTTTTTAATTTTTTTTATTATTTTTTTAATCAGAGAGGAGGTTTGTACTTGTCTGTTGGTGTAGACTCAGCTGAGATCCTCTCCTCAAAGCAGACCAGTGCCTGGGTCCTAGCCCCAGTGGGTATATTAGTCATCCACTGTCCCCCCAGGACCACACAGAGGATCTGTTCAGTCCTTAGTGTAAGCTCAGATTCCCCCGAAGTGTCCGTCACCAGGTAACCAGGGAGCCCTGAGTGTATGAATCCTCCCAAAGTGACTGCCCAAAGTCCCAACCACATCCTGAGTCCTCCCACACAACCTCAGTGTTTTCACAGTCCCGGCACACAAGCCCCCCACAGCCCAGAGCACTCAGCCCCCTGTCTGTTCTCCCCATCAGATTCAGCAATCTCCACTTGGCTCGATGCTGGGCACAGACAGAAGCTGGCACAGCTGTTACATATGTCCAAAATGATACATGCTCTCTGTCAGCCTGTTACAAGATGCTATTGCAGTGTGATGGGGGAGAGAGAAAACGTGCCCCTCCTTTGTTTTTTTTTTTTTTCCTCCTCTAGTTTGGCAGGTACACTATACCCAGTGGGGCTCCAAGCCAGGTTCCCTCTAGGCTCTTCCTGCAGCTTTTTTGCCAGTGGCTTAGGCTGCTGCAGTCTGGTCTCACCTCACTCTCCAACTTGGCTCTTGGCTGCTGGGGTCCTGAGTTATGCAAGTCCACGCCCTCCATGTAAGTCTACTGTGTCCCTCCAACTTGCGTAGAGTTTCCTCTGCTGTTTTCTCCCTGGCTCTTCCCTGAGACTGCACTCCTTTCACTTTTTAAAAACTCTCTTCTCCTAGACTAGAGCAGCAAGCTCCCTCCCTACTCTGCCATCTTAATCCGTCCTTCATGTGACTCTGCTTAATTTATGACATAGCACTGCACTGTAATTGGCAGTATACAAAAGAAATGATTCATCTGAAATAGGATAAATATGAAATATCATTCATGACAGCAGTTATAAAAGTTGTACAACATAAATCATGGCTCCTTTGATTCTGATATAGTGTAAACCCAAGGAACTATGACTCATGGATCAAATCTGACCTGATGCCTGTTCCTGTAAATCAAGTTTTAGGGGAATATAGCCATACTCATTCATTTATAAATTGTCTGTGGCTGCTTTTCAAAACTTTTAATTAATTAGACACACACACACACAAGCAGACGCATGCACACACAGAGTATTCCTATGCACTGGTTCATTCCTCAAATGTCCTCAATGCCTTGGGGCTGAGAACGGCTAATGCTGGGAGCTGGGAGCTGGGATCTCAATCCAGGCATCCCACGTGGATGGCAGGAACCCAGTTACTTGAGCCACCCTACTGCTCAGGGTCTGTATTAGTAGGAAGCTGGAGTCAGAAGCTGGAACTGGGTTTGACAAAATGCCAATCCTAGCTGCTTTGTTTTTACAAAAGCAGTGTTGAGCATTTGCAGTAGAGACTTTATGGCTTCCAAAACTAAAAATATTCACTGTGATTAAATAGAATAATTTAACAGTCCATTTAAAAAGTTAATATGGAGACCAAAGCAAAGACGAAGTATGGGAACACTGTGATCTATTGTAACCCTAGCCTGAGTTTGTGCCCTTCTCCTCCCCTTCACTTTCCATTTCTTTCTGTGAGACCACTAGGTAGCTGTGAGGAGCTAACTGGTAAACCTGTACAAAGTAAATCCTAGTAAGTACATGACCCAAAACTTTGGCTTAATGCTGTCTTCTCAGAGAATCTATTGAATGTCCTTAGTGTTGAGTTCATAGCACAAGCAGATCCTCTACATTCCCCAAACACTCACTTCAATCAATCCTTAAAATGTTGCTAAACACTGACTAATGGATGTTTCCAGCATTTGTAATGTGTTTGTATTTGAAAACAAGTAATCAGCAACACACAGTAATGAAGTCATTCGTCAAATATGAGATGTCCCTATACACGAAATTGTGAATTCTTATTATTGAGTCCATGATTATAATGTAGGAAGTGTTCTCCAAAAATTCTGTTGGTTCACTTCCCAAGTGGCCACAACGGCAGAAGCTGGACCAGGCCGAGCCAGGAGGCAGGAGCTTCATTCAGGTCTCTCACATGAGTGGCAGAGGTGCAAATACTTGGGCCATCCTCTGTTGCTTTCCTAGGTCCATTAGTAGGAAGTTGGATCAGAAGTGGAGTAGCTGGAATTGAAGCTGTCACTCTGATATGGGATGCTGGCATTGCAAACAGTGGTTTAACCCACTGTGCCACAACACTGCCCCAAAACTTATCTTTTAATTCTGTTTTCTATGAACTTTTTGAGATATGCTTATAGCACCCAGTTTTTTATGTAATAGAATTATAACAGCATAAACCCTATATTTTGATTCTAGAAAAAAATCCCAAATATCTTGTATCCTCTTTAAATCAATGTTAAGGGTGAAAGGAGGGGGAACCTTGAGACTTTTAGGATGCCTGAGCATCATAGCCAATATTTTATTTTATTTATTTATTTTTTAGCTTTTATTTAATGAATGCAAATTTCATGGGTACAACTTTAGGAATATAGCGGTTCTTCCCCACATACCCACCCTCCCACCCCCACTCCATCCCACCTCCTACTCCCTCTCCCATCTCATTCTTCATTAAGATTCATTTTTAATTTTTAATTAATTTTATATATAGAAGACAAGCTTTATCTTAAAAGTAAAGATTTCAATATTTTGTACCCCCCCCACAATGTATAAAGTACTATTTGAGAGCAAATTTTGCAGTTAATTCTCATAGTACAACTCATTAAGGTCAGGGGTCCTACATGGGGAGTAAGTGCACAGTGACTTCTGTATAGCCAACATTTTAATGTTCAAATGGAATCAAAATGCATTTAGGATTGAGAAGTAGTGGATTGCATTTCTATGTAAGGCTATTTGGGACTCATTTCAGCTGTTTTTGTATAATTTTGCCCACCTGACATGCGCAAGAAGCAAGATGAATTTGCTCACCTTTCAGAAGAGCCGTGAGTAAAGAATTTTCTCCTAAAAGGCTTTTGAGTTGAAACTCACCAAGGCCAATCCTGATAGCTTAGATATAGGATACCCCCGAGAGGTTTTGTTTTCATGGCTTTGACATAATATGGATTACGCTAGAGCAGTATTTCATTAAGGAAGCACAGCAGGAGTTTCAGTCTTGATGAGTCTTTTGAAGGATATGAAATATATACAAGGAATAAAGGATACTTTCATGGAAAAGATGGAGTTAAAAGATAAATCTAATTTGGTTGTTGGAAAAAACATTTAAGATCCATGCATTTTCCATGAGCATTTTTGAAGACCCAACACATGCCTGGATTTTAATTTTTTTTTTTGCCAAAATAAACTTATTTTTAAATTCTAATTTCCATGAACTTTTCAAAGTGCCCTTATGTACTTCATGGGGATGCCTAGCAACAGTTTGTTTCTCTCATTCTTTTGCCCCCAGAAAGACTCTGTCTCAGACATGTACTTCTACCCAACCTGGGACTCTTGGGCCACCCAATCTCTCCCCGGGGTCCTTCTCCTCCCTGGATACCCAGCCTCCTCCTTCTCCCTTCCTACCGGTCTCTTTATTCCTGTGGAAGCTCTCTGCTCCTCCCAGGTTCCCTGGGAGCCTCCTTTCCCTACTTCTTCTTGGCCTCTGCCAAGTCCTCCTGCCGTCTCCCCATTCCCCAGCCTCAGGTCCCAGCAACCAACCAGAGAGTTGGAAAGAACTTCCATCGCCTGTGCTGGAGAAGCAGAGGGGAGCACCGTCACTTCTGGCCTGCTCACAGGACAAATGCATCCATGTCGCTAGACTTCTATACGCCCTAAGTACTGGGAACTCCATAGGATCACTCTGACGTGTCAGTCACACCAATAGCTTGCATTGTTCTTCTCCTGCTGCGCTCTGAGCTTGGAGCATCCTGCATCTCAGAAGAGGGGTGGGAGGGGAGCCCAGTCACATGGAGCAGCGTCAACCGAAATTGTGCCTGAGGCAGCCTCGTGTTCCCAGTCCCGCTGGCCCTCGGGAGCTGACTGTTGTTGCCCACAGAACCTTCCCTCGGAAGCCTGTGCTACTCATGACCCCCACCCCCTCCCTCCTCCTGTCTCTCATCCTTATCACGTTCTGTTGAGAACATTTCTGGAAGTTCCGTACTCTCAGGACATTCTAAGAAAGTTGAGATACAATCCACGTATCTTAAAATTCGTTCCTTGAAAGTATATAATTCCATAAGTTTTAGTCTATGCCCAGAGTTGCACAACAATCGCTATGACCTAATCCCAACCCCCAAATACCTTACTCATTAGCAGTATGACCATGGCATCCTCCCCCGCCAGCCCCTGGTAACCACTAATCTACTTTCTGTCTCTGTGGATTTTCCTATTCTAGACATTTCACATAAATGGAATCACACAATATGTGGCCTTTTGTGAGTGGACTCGTTCACTTCACATAATGTTCTCAAAGTGCATCTGGGTTACAGCCGGTATCAGTACTTCATTCATTTCTGCTTGGAACACTGTTCCATTATGTGGGCGTATCAATTGTACTTGTTCATTTATGAAATGAGGGACTTTTGGGTTGCTTCCACTTTATAGCTATCATGAATAGTACTGCCATGAACATTTCTGCACAGGTTTTTGTGTGGACACATATTTCAGTTCTCTTAGGTAGATAACTGGAAGTGGGGTTCTGAGGGATCGCCAAGCTGTCTTCACCACGCATTTCACCAGGAACGTGTGAGCCTTCAACCTCTTCTCCTCCCCACCAGCACTTGCTTATTGTCGTCTTTTTCTCTTACGGCCGTCCTGGTGGATGTGCAGTACCATCCCCTCATTTCCCTGATGGCCAGTGATATTAAGCATATTTTCTGGTGCCTATTACCCATTTGTGTATATTCTGTGGAGAAATGTCTGTTGAAGTCCTTGGCCAATTCTAAAATTGGATTATCTGTTTTTTTTTTTTATTATTGAATGGCAAGAATGCCTTATTTTTCTGAATGCTAGACCATAACAGGAACATGATTTACAAATACTTTTCTCATTATCTGGGTTGTCTTTGTACATTCCTAAAAGTGACCTTCGAAATACAAAAGTTTTCCATTTGATGAAGTACAACTCACCTACTTTCTTATTGCTTGTGCATTTGGTGTCATATCAAAGAAACCACTGCCTAATTAAAGGGCACACAATTTACACCCGTTTCATTCTAAGAGTTTTATAATTTTAGCTCTTACATTTAGGACTTTGATCCATTTGAATTGAGTTTTGTGTGAGGTAAGGGTCCAACTGTATGACATTGTTTTTATTTTTTAAATGTAAGAAGTATCCAACTGCTTTTCATAATGAGTGTTGGTCCATTTTATTTTCTTGTAATATGTTTGGTTTGGGAATCAGGGTCATTCTGACCTCATAGCAGGAGTTTGGAAGTGTTTCCTCTTATTTTTTATTGGAAGAGCTTGTGCAGTCCTTGTATCTTTCAGCTGTATTGTGTAGCACAACTCAGCAGTCCTCAACCTCCATTCTAAAGTGCCAGGAGACACAAATGAGAGGAGCAGCTCTTCTGTGCTGTGAGTGTTGTCACCTCTGCGGGATGCCTGGGTCCGGGCCGCCTCCTTGAGGCTCTGAGGGGAGCCATCCTAAGGGTATGAGGATGGCAGAGCAGAGAGAAGGAAAGAACTGTTCTTTATGAGCTGCTGAGTAGTCAGCCCCGGAGCCTCTCTGTCTTGTTGTGTGAGGAACGCACATCCGTATGATTGTTTAAGCCCCTCTTTGGGGTTTTTGGTCCTTTGCAACTGGAAGTGCCTAGCTGGTAGTTATCGACGGTATCCTTTGTTACAGGAACACCCTGCGTTTTCTTTCTCCCCCTCCACTATGTCGTTAGGCTAAGAGAGCAGGAATTGTGCTTGTACAACAGTCAGCAGTCACTGGTGTCTGTGGAAAGCAAATCAAATGCAGCTGTCCCGCAGCATCTGTAGGGGTTGGTTCCAGGACCCCTCGGGATACGTAAATCTTCAAGTATTCAGTGTTTCACACAAAATGGGGTAGTATTTGCATGTAACCTACACACATCCTCCTGTATGCTTTATATCGTCTTTAGGTTCCTTTAATACCCCACACAATGCACATGCTATGTAAGTGACTATTAGACCGGATTGCTCAGGGAATCCTCACAGGACAAACCTGTACACGGTCAGGATGGACACACCTGTTTTGGGTATTTTTTGATCTGCAGTTGGTTGAGCGTGAGGAGCCATGGATGTGGAAGGCTGATTGTACAACGTCAAGTTTATACAGAATACAGCCTCGCTGGGGCCCTTCCTGCTGTCCTGGGAATTTACTAACCCTCGAGGGGTTCAGTTTGGGGGTAGGTGATTAAAGTGAAGGATGTCCAGGGCTTGAGCGACACTTGGTGGCCGGGACTTGTACCTGACACAGTCTCACTGTGTGTTGTTCAGGGCTTGTCAGAGGAAGAGAGCAAGGTACATGTGAGCTATCCCAGGTTCCTGCCCTGTACAATCTGTCTTCTTAAAGGTGGCGGGGCTGTGAATACTCTGTGATTGGATAAGGGGGGAGGTGTTTTGCAGGTGTAATTAGGGCTCCAAATCGATACTTTGTTTTAATCAAAAGAAATATGATCGAGGGTGGGCCTGGTCTAAGTGGGTGACTGTAACTGGACCCTCCCTGAAGACAGAGATTTGAAATGTCAGGAGGCCTGTTGCAGAGATCTGTGTCCAGGGCTTGCCAGAGGCTGTGAGGAGCTGAGAGTGGGCCCCAGCTGACAGCTGGCCAGGAAATAGGGCCCTCAGCCACACAGCCACACTAGCCTGACGGAGCTTGGCAAGTGGAACGTTCCCTGCTCCTGCCTCCGAATAAGGCTGCTTCTGGCTAACTAGTTGCGCTTGGCCTGTGGGACCCTGAGCAGAGAATCCAGCTGAAGTGGCCTGTTGGAACCCATGGTGTAATGTGTGTTCCTTTAAGCTGCTAGGTTTGTGGCAACTTGAAACAGGCACCATAAATAGCAGCCCTGTGTGTGGAAAAACAAGGTGTTAATGATTAAGGAAAAGAAAATTTTGAAAATCTGACAAACTTTGGAGCTGACTAGCTCAAATGCCCCTGCAAACTGCCTTTTTATGTCTCCTCTGGACTCTGTCACTTCTGACACGGCACCGTGGACGAGGGGCTAAGCCGGGGAGAGCTCAGGGGATGTGTTTTTATCTTCCTGCAGGCAGCTGGCTCTGGGAAGCTGATTAGCGGGAGGGAAGGGGCTCGTCCTGAATCTGGGACAAGGTTGGTCGCTGGAAGCCACAGTTGTCCCTGTACATACTCTGGAGCCCTTGTGTTGCCAAGAAAGCTGCTCTAATGAGAGCATCCAAATGAAGGAGAGCCACAGCACAGCAGGTCAGGGGCAAAGGGTAGGATTGCTTCAAGTTCAAGGCACCTAGATCTGGTGTCACTTATTTATTTATTTATTTGAAAGGCAGAGTTAGAAGAGAGAGAGGTCTTCCCTCCTCTGATTTACTCTCCAAAAGGCCACAAGGGCTGGGGCTAGGCCATGCTGAAGCCAGGGGCCAGGAGCTTCTCCTGGGTCTCCCACATGGGTACAGGGGCCCGAGCACTTGGGCCATCCTCCTCTGCTCTCCTAGGCCCTTAGCAGGGAGCTGGATTAGAAGTGGAGGAGCCGCCGGGACTTGAACCAGCATCCATATGGGATGCTGGCACTACTGGTGGAGACTTAGCCTTCTACATCACGGCACCAGCCCCTGCTTGTTTCTTTTTGAAAAAGGATTTATTTCATTTGTTTGAAAGACAGAGTTATAGAGAGAAAGGGACACACACACACACAGACACACATCTGCTGGTTTGAAACTGCTCACTTTTTCTTAACACTTAAGAAGCCTTTGGGATTATTTTTAATGTTAGAGATTTATACAGAACAGCTTTCTTTCTTTGTCTTTGGATGGATCAGAATTGCATGCATACCTGACTTGCAAGACAGCGGCAGGAAAGAGGCCGAGAGAGCTGCCCTTTTTGTTGTTGTAGTCGCAATGAAAATGAGAATCAGATGGACTTTTTTCCTGCAAAATTTAAAAAAATGTCAAGTCATTTGTGCAAATGGTTTAAAAGCCTTGAGATTTTAGGAATGTGTCTTTGCAATTATTCTCTTTTAATAATTAATTACTAATACGTTTTAATCACTGAGAACATTGTTTTGATCATTAAGAATTTACAATGTAAAGATTTTTTCAAGGTCAAATTTCAAATGTTAATCATTGTAACCTAATGCGCACAAATCTCTGCTGAATTCAGTTTAAAAATAAAAGGCAAATCGTTAATTTGAACTGGCATATTTACTGGAAATTGTCTTTTATTATTCTCTGCTGTTGTTCAAGGTCATTTCTTTAATCAAACCTCAGAGCTGGATGCAGAACCACGGGGAGAAATATCACCCTCTCCGTCTCTTTTCCTAAAATCTCGGCTCTCAGCAGACCTGACTTTCCTTTCCTCTTCATTGTTCTCATCTCGCCTTTAACTGCTGCTGCACCCCTTCCCCCCAGCCCTCCCCGCCCCCTCCCCTTTAGTTTTGAGGGGGATCCCGCAGCCACAGCCAGCACAGCATGCTTAGAAAATGCACGCTTCATCTGCTGGTAGCAAACCTGTGCTTGGGTGTTCGAAAATCTCACCGGCCATCTTCACGGGACGTCGTGGACTTGCTGACGGCCAGAGCCTTCCCCGTGGCTGGGTCCTCCGCAGGCACGTGGCGCTCTTGAGGGGGCTCCCCTGGTTCTGTGACCTTCAAGAGCTGGCCTCCGTCCTGGGTCCTCACGTCCTCACCTGTGAGTGGGGTGGGAGGTGCACCTGCGCCACAGTGCTGTTGCAGGGAGGACGCCGCGGCGGGGGCTCAGCCCGTGCTGAGTGCTGAGTGGCGCCTCAGTTTACCCACACTGCAGAGACGAGGCCATCCCTTTATCCTGGCAGCAGCTGGTCTGGTCTTGCCCTGGCCCGTTCTACAGGTTATTGGGTAAAAAAGCAGTTTGTAGTTCCATCTAGTTTAAATCTTGATCTCATTCCCTTTAACTCAAAGAGCCTCGATTGAATTTTTTTTTTTTTTTTTTTTTTTGACAGACAGAGTTAGTGAGAGAGAGAGACACAGAGAGAGCGAGTTATAGACAGTGAGAGAGAGATAGAGAGAAAGGTCTTCCTCCTATTGGTTCATTCCCCTAATGGCCGCCATGGCCGGTGCTGTGCTGATCCAAAGCCAGGAGCCAGGTGTTTCCTCCTGGGCTCCCATGCGGGTGCAGGGCCCAAGCACTTGGGCCATCCTCCACTGCCTTCCCAGGCCACAGCAGAGAGGTGGACTGAAAGAGGAGCAACTGTGACTAGTACCCGGCGCCACAACTGGGACTAGAACCCAGGGTGCCGGTGCCACAGGCAGAGGATTAGCCAAGTAAGCCACAGTGCTGGCCAAGCCTCGACTGAATTTTAACAGCTCCTTTAGACAATGGCCTGGAGAAGCCTGCCCACACAGCCTCGCCTTTTGTCTGTTTTGGGCGCTGCAGGATCTGGTGTGGGGCTGTGCTCCTGTCTTCCCCACTGTGTTGGTTCCCTGTGCTTGCCTGGTGAGCTGTACAGTGCTCCCTCCTCATGGCATGGATGGGATACATTTCAGTACCCCAGATGCCTGAAACCTGAGGATGTTATATTTGCTTCCTATAAATACATAGCTGAGATAAAGTTTAATTTATCAATTAGCCACAGTAAGAGATCAATAGTGATAATAAAACACAACTATAACAATAGACGGTGATAAAAATTAGGTGAATGTTGTCTCTTTTTTCAAATATTTTTTAAGGATTTAGTTTTTATTTCAAAGGCAGAGAGAGAGAGAGAGAGAGAGCGAGAGAGAGAGATTGAGCTTCCATCCACTGGTTCACTCCCCAAATTGCTGCAACAGCTGGGGCTGGACCAGGCCAACGCCAGGAGCCAGGAACTTCATCTGGGTCTCCCACCAGGTTCAGGGGTTCAAGCACTTGGGCCATCTTCTGCTGCTTTCCCAGGTGCATAGCAGGGAGCTGGATTGGAAGTGCAGCAGCCGGGACTCCAATGGGCGTCCATATGGGATGCCGGTGTTGCACGTGGATGCTTAACCTGCTATGCCCCAATGCCAGGCCCCCTCTCAAAATATCTTATTCACCTTTTACTTCAGTAGAATGCTTTATGGCCCCCTTTGGGCATATCTGAATGCCTAGTGGTATCAGGGCTGCCCCTTCACTTCCTCTGAATCCCCAAACCCTGTCGCCACGTTTCTCCATTCCTTTCCTGAAAGCTCCCCGTCCTGTGCTTTCACAATGGATATGAGTTCCTGCTCTCCTGGGAGAGCTGCTTAGGACACAGCTGCACGTGGGTCGAGGGAACACCGGGCAGGGTAGCGTGAGACATCCAAGCTCAGCGTGTGCAGAGGAAGGAAAGCCTAACCTTTGGAGCCAACCAGACCGAGTCATAGAACATAGAGCAAGGCAATCCAGAACTAAAAGCCCATGCTCCTATGGCAGCCTGATCCCTTGGGTCC